CACTGATTTAGGCTTTCATTTATTTTCTTTGATTTATTTTCAACTTAAATATTACCTTTTTGGTTTCTTGATTTTGTGCTTTTGTACCAAAATGGTCCTGTAGTTTTTTTTAGTACCTTTTTAGTCCTCTAAACCTGAAATTTGGTTCCAAAAATGATCCTTACCTCAGCATAGTTGGATGATTGTAATTGGTTAAATGTCATTTTTAATTCTTAAATTTTTAAGTTTGAATATTTTGATTTTTTATCAATTAATCAATTAAGTTATCCATATATATAAATTTTAATTTTTAAACTTATAAGTTCACAAACTAATTTTATTTAAAACTTACATAAAAAAATGTTGACAAAACTTCTTTTTTAAAGTGTGAAAAAAGAATTATTAATTAAAAATTATATAAAAATTAAAATTAAAATATTATTTTAATTTTTTTATTATAATATAATATTAAAATATACAAATACATAAATAAACAAACAAAAAGAAAAAAAGGGAAAATTCCCTCCCATCCAAACATACCTTGCCTTTTTGACAGTGAAGGTGAGCCAAGCCAAAAAAAAACTGGAGTCAAGTGGCGGTGATTGACTCCGCTGAGCCGAGAAAGAGCTCCTGGAGCAATCACGTTCAATTGTCCAAATCGTTAAGGCTGTTACTGGCTTCTCTTTGTCTCTGTGCTATCCACCTGCTCTCATCTCATTATTCCTGCGCTCTTCTCCAAACATCCACTCCACTTCTTCTCTTTTTTCAAAACCCTCGTCGGAACAGACACAGAATTCTCCGAATATTATCCTCATCGGAGGAGCTTCAGAGCTCAGCAACGGAGAAACCACTACCGGTGACCGGACTCCTCACTTTCTCCGTTTTCCTTTAATTTCTCTTCAAATTTTCCGATTTGTACTTCACCGTTCTTACTCCTCTCAGTGAACTTTCAAACGCCGACGTTCAGGTTTTTTCTCGGGAAAATTTATCGTGGACGGTAAGTTGGTTTTTTTTTTCTTGATTTCCTTTTTAATCCGAGAAGAACAGGCTTCGAGCTCAAGCCATCTTTTTGAGAAAGTTCTAAAGACATTATCCTCCTACAAATTTCAATTTTCTCCAGAAAAGGGAAAGGAAAAGAAAGTTTTCTAGATTACGGGATTAATCCTTGGGGAGTCTGGACTCTTTTTGGATGATTGATTTACGCGGAGAGATAGGAATCGATTTTTTTTGTTTCGGAGTATAAGGATGCTGTGGAGATCAAAAGAAGCTTTCGGCTTGAGTTAGTTTGCGATAATGTCATTGTGTGATTTTACGTCGAGATTGGAAGGATTTTTCAGATTTTGAAATGAGGAATTTCGGTATAATTTGAGGCTGCAAAGTTGCAACTATGAGTTGCAGCAGCGAGAGCAGAGTCGAGGAGGAAGAATCGAGAACCCCCCACCGGAACTGTTTCACGGCGTGTCCGGAGTTGACTATTGATGAGAACTTGCTTCTTGACCCCAAATTGTTGTTTATCGCCTCCAAAATCGGCGAGGGAGCTCATGGGAAAGTTTATGAAGGAAGGTCAGTGTAATTACCCATAGCCATAGGACCAGTGGTAGAGAAAGTCAGTCTCATGAATTGAAGATTATAGTTTACTATTCATAAAAGATAATAATGTGTGAATTTTGGTGCGCCGTACTTTTGAACATATTCTTAACATGGAATTGTATGTAACAGGATAATTTAGTTTACTAAGAATGAGAACTATTGTTGTTTCTATGAATAGAGAATGATGGGGGCAATTTCATTTTGTAAACTTTTATGTTATACATTTTCGAAAAATGATAGTAGTTTGTTGGTGGCAGGAGTCCTAGTTACATAGGTATGGTCTAATATGTTTCCAGGTATGGTGATCAAATTGTTGCTGTCAAGCTTCTACATGGAAGCACTGCAGAGGAAAGAGCTGCTCTTGAAAGTCGTTTTGTTCGTGAGGTTAATATGATGTCTCAGGTGAAACATGAGAATCTTGTCAAGGTGAGCTTACAAACACAAATGCCTGTTAGGTCTTGCCTTGATACCTATTTGGTGACTGCTTTCTTGAATGAATCGGTTATATCTGTTTCACTCACAGTTATTAATTCTTGTGTTTGCAGTTCATGGGAGCTTGTAAGAACCCACTAATGGTAATGGTAGCCGAGCCATTACCAGGAATGTCACTCCAGAAGTATTTAAATAGCATTCATCCAAATCTTTTAGACCTTCGTGTGGCATTAAATTTTGCCCTGGACGTTGCTTGAGCCATGGAATGTCTGCATGCCAATGGGATTATACATAGAGATCTGAAACCTGGTATTTATTCAGTGTGCTAACTGTTGTAGTAATATATTATCCACATTATACAGTATTACAAAGTTGCCTGGACCAATGCAAAGATCATATTTCATAATCCTGTTCTGTTTCATGTTTGCATCCTGACCACTTTCTGCATGACATTTTATTCTTCTTTGTGTTCCCTTTCTTCACTCTTGCCTCTCTTTTTGTGAAAACAACTAGACATGAGCCTTTTCGGCCTAGCAAATTATTTCCATAAATACATAAACTAAAGTTTCAAATTACTGGAATAGAGTTTATCCTTCTGATTCTATTGTTCAAGATTATTTTCTCTCTACTACTTATTATCATATTAGACATTTAGGCCACAGTCCAGACTTGTTCATGTTGTGTTTCAAATTGTTGAGCTACTAGAACATTGTCTTTGTTTGTAAACTGTGCATTTGCATGGTTAGTTAAAGCAAAGTTATTTCAGAAATTTATATGTGAAGAAAATTGGATAAAGATACAGTTCAGATGCAAATGCAACAGTCCTGTAGTTCTAAATATGTTGACTTTTGGGATTGAGTTGCACTTCCTGATACTTCAAACTTCGATGTCAATTTGTTTTGTGATATAAAAAGTCTTGGTTGTAATTTCCTGTTTCAAAAAGATAATCAGACATTTTTCATAATTCATATTTCATTGCTGACTAATTATGGCAAAACCTATCAATGCAGACAACTTGTTGCTTACAGCAAATCAGAAGTCCATGAAGCTTGCAGATTTTGGTCTTGCAAGGGAAGAATCAGTAACAGAGATGACGACTGCAGAAACTGGGACTTATCGGTGGATGGCTCCTGAGGTTTGTGCCTCTGTTACATGGGAAAAATGTTACAATCTTGTTTATGATGAATGTTGAGGTTTTCTGCATGCTAGTTAGAGGTTTAATTTTGTTTTTGTAAATTCTTTCCAATTGTTAAGATGAATGTCTTCACTTCTTTTTGAACCCCATGAACTCTTTTACTAGTAAGTAGTCATCTTTCCAAATATAGAAAATAATATATCAAGTGGGAATGTGTATTTAGAAAAATTATGAAGCCTTAAACAGGGAGATCTTTATACACATCGATTGACATAGATATTATTGATTTGTATAACTATTCATTTTAGTGTATTCATACCACATATTTTTAACTCATTCTAGCCACAGGTAGAGTGATACGTCATACCTTTCACTGTTGTTCGCTTAAATGGTTGAACAAGCTTCAGTCATGTGATATATGGATTAGAATATGGTAGAGCTGGTTGTACTTTCACGTAGGAAATCAAAATCTTTTGTAAGGTGACATAATTTCATGGAAAAAATTTGAATTATCTGGTATTAACATCATATCTGAAATAAACATCTTAATAATTGTAACTTGATGGCTAGAAGAGAACAGAAATTTTTACATAGAACAATGCTTAGATAATTCAGTTTACCTATGGATCCAGCAAAGCCAAATGAATGGCTTGGTTAAGAACCATCTTCTAGCCAATTATCTGTTTCCAAATATAACTGTTTATTCTTATTTTTCTCTTTGTGGTGGTTTGGGTTGGGGGCATTTTAAGGTTAGGCAAGCTCCCTGTTGTTGTAATTGGCATATTGAATGTGAACATACCATTCACATTTGTTCATGGTGACTATCATACAAATGTTTTCTCACATTTGTTACTTAATTTTTTGAAAAATCTGTGTCTTTGCAGTTGTATAGCACTGTGACATTGCGTCAGGGAGAGAAAAAGCATTACAATAACAAGGTTGATGTCTACAGCTTTGGCATTGTCTTGTGGGAATTATTTACCAACTGCATGCCATTTGAAGGCATGTCTAATTTGCAGGCTGTTTATGCAGCTGCTATTAAGGTGCAAGGAACATTCTCTTTTGATGCCTGAGTCATGCATGATAAATATCAAAACCATTATATTCTAAACATTTTGGTGGCCTCCGTATATGCAGCAAGAGAGACGTATTCTTCCAAAGCATATTTCTCCTGATCTGGTAATTATCATCCAATCTTGTTGGGTTGAGGACCCCAATATGAGGCCCAGCTTCAGCCAGATAATTCGCATGCTCAATGCATTTCTCTTTACTCTGTCACCACCTTCACCATCCATAGCCGAACCTGACACTAATGAGGCAGCAGAAACAAGCAATGGAACAGACGCTGAATTATCAGTTCGTGCAAAGGGGAAGTTTGCTTTCCTCCATCAAATGTTCTCTGCTAAAAGGACCAAGAACTCACAATGAGGGTAAAATTTTGAAAAATTTCCTGTTCCAACGTAACATAGTTGGCATGCAATGGTAGGCATATATTTTGATAGGATCTCTGGTTAATTACCTTAGGGAGAGAATTATTAGCAAGGCATGAAAATGTTGCCAAAAAAGAATTTTGGTGTGGGGGCCTGGAAGTGAAACTCCTTGCATATAAGAAGACAGATAGATCACCATTACATTGGTTACTTGATCTCGTTGTAAAGCAGATACATGGTTTTTGACATTCTGTTAATTTGAATATTGCCTTCTTCAGCCTATTTTCAGCATTTGTACCACTAGCAAAAAGTGTTCATTTTAGAGTCTGGGTGTCCAAGATCATCTTCACATACGCATTATTGCTAATGCCGCCACTGTGTCTTAATGTTTTCAATGATTCATGTCCGCTTCTGTATGCAAATCTGATGACATCCATGATGCATTTCATCAAATGTGTAGTAGTAACAAGGACTGTTAGATCATTCCACGCATACTACGGTTTGTTTCAACCATCACATTAACCAACATCTTCCTTCCATTTTCCTGCTTTCTTGTTTCAACTTTGAAAAGGGAAATCAGTCAGCTGCATTTCATGCTTCACGTTTCAAGAACGGGAACGCCTTGGCAATTTGTTGTTCAAAAAACTGTTGTGCAATCTTAGACTGTACTGGATTGTACAATTAAAATTATTAGATGAGAGGCAGACCCCCAATATCCCCCACTTAGTTATCTTGTTTTGTAATATGATACGATTTAACCTTCAAAAGAAGGGGCTCTTCGTTGTTTGTGATCTTGCTTTTTTTCTGTCAGGACTGGGCTGTAGTTTTCTTGGTCTGTTTATATTTTGGATCATCCTTTTAATTCGGTCCCATCTGGACCCGGGTTCGGGTTGGGCCGTTTCACCCGATTCTTTTCAGCCTACTCATATTCGGAATTCGGTATTGGATATTCAAATTCAATCTATTAGTTTTAAAACAACCACGTCTCGCGTGTTTGGAATCTCAGGAGTCAGGACTAAATCAACGCTCCAAAATTTCGGGCAAACTTAACCACCATTGTCCAAAATTTGGACAAAGACTTCGGAGTCAATGCCATTTCGGACGGGTGCCAAGATAGTCGTTGTTGAGTACTGGAGTCCATCATACGAAGACTGATTTTACCCAATACTTGAAGAAAGAGGATTTCTACAGAGGGATATAAGCAATCATTCAACCAGTCTGGTTTATCTTCATTGGATTCCAGATCTAAGGCAGGTACATGGTAGAATTCTCGAAAACTTGAAACCCCTTCATCAGGTATCTGCTCGAATCTTTCTCCAAGATTTCTCCGAGTCAACTTTAAAAAGGTTTTCCCTTTTGATGATCAGCTCCATCTTCCAATTTGTTGGTGTAAAAGGGTCATCTTGAAAGTATACAATTTTTTTGTGGGTTCTTGTCAAATTATGATGTGGGTATCGTAATGGGAAATTGGGCGTCGGAGAAGGTTTATGTACAAAATATAGGTTTTTTTTTTTTTTTTTCCTGGGTTTGGAAGATGGTGAATTTCAAGTAAATTGAAGGGTTTGGTTATGAAAAATGGGGGAAATTGCAAGTGCAGCAGTTGTGCACACTGCAATCAACTCTGTACAGGCATTGGGGAGAGGCTTTGATGTCAACTTTGATACGAGGTTGCTGTATTGTAAAGGAACGGCGGGTTCTAGAGTGATTGATGTTGATGAGGAACATACTAAGGATCTTTTTTTGTATGACAATGTAATTGTGCCCAATGTTTCTTGGGATATCAAGAGCTCATCAGAGTCTGTTGGCCGCCAGACTTCTAGTGCTTGCAGTTTCCAAGAGGTAGGTTGCTGTTTCCTTTCACTCTGTTTCTTCTGCATTTTGTGAATTATGTTTTCTTGTTAATTTTTGGTCTCTTTGGAATTTTTAATTGTTCTGTTATCTAGTGTTTGTTCTGGGGATTCATTGATTTGTTCTGTGATTGTACTAGCCGATGAAGGACGGTACTGGGTTAGGGTTAGGGTTAGGGTTAGGGTTAGGGTTAGGCGTTTGAGGATTGAGAGCAGTTCCCACTGGCAGACCATTTGTTGATAACATTTTGCCATTTTGTATGGTGGATAAAGAGAATCAATAAATTGGACTGAAAAACTTCAAAAGGATACTGTACCAATGAAATTGATGTCTGATGTCTAGAAGAAAGGTGTAATGATGTAGAATATGCTCCAAGCAACTTTGCAAGTAGTTAAACCTATTATGCCTGATGTTTTATAACACGTCCTCTCACGATCTTCTTTGTTAATAAGTACTTTTAACTTGATAGCATACATATCTGAACTTTTTTTTCATTTGGTAGACTAAGCTATTTAATTAATGACTTTGGGCTTATTCGCTTGCTACTCATTTACCTAGTTCCTGGTCGAAGCTTCAAGAAAAGCTTGTTATACATGGGACTTGACCAGAAAAGCTTGAAGCCATTAGCTTTCCAGTTTACAGTGTTAAGCATCTTGCATCAGAACGATAAATCACCTTAGCAAATGTAAGAAGGTAATACAAAATAGAAAGAATAAGACGAATTAACAAGTGCTGGTTACCAAGATTCAATCAATGAGATTAAATTCATGAAAGTCCTTGCAGTTGATATCAATCAAATATGCACAAAAAGAGCTTGGATCAAGTAACTAACTTTTCATCTCAATTTTGTTATAACCTGTGCCATGTTAAAAATTTTGATTACTTGGTTGAAAATTATCTTTCAGGAATTCCTATCCTACATTGGTCCTTTTATTGGTGTTTTTCAAGCATAATTGTAGCTATAGCTGAACATTGCATGCCAAATCTGTTTGGTGCTGGACAATTGTGTCAATTCTTTTAATAAAAAATATAGATTGGAGCGGTATGTTTAGTGGAAAAATCTATGTTAGTTTGATGAAGTTAGAAAGCAAGCAAGAAGGAGCTCTTTTATTTGTGAGAACTGAAAGTTTGAGTTCAGTGGGAATCGAGGATGAAATCTAACTAAAGATCCACAACTTTTTCTTTGAAGTGAGGAGCATTCTGTGGCCATTTCCGATAATTTGTGTACTTTGGGTTGTTTTAAACATTTTTTGTGTGTCCTCCACTTGCTCTAAGTTGCTTTTTCACCATTAACAACTGCAGATGGTCGACTACTTCAATCAAAAGGCTAATCTACCTGGAGGTTATCCTCTTGGTAGTTTTAATTCTGCATTTAGCTTTACTGGTTTAAAGCACATTGACTCTACGGTCACAAAGACCCTCTCTATGGATGGATATTTTATTCCACTTGCCAAGGTTCAGCTTATGAGGTACCCATTAGTATTACACGAAAATGTGAAACGAGCTGTCCCAACCTCCTGGGATCCACCGTCCTTGGCAAGGTATCAATTGTTGTTATTGCTGCATAGTTCTGATAATATAGCTTCAAGTTTCTCCTAACATTACCTTATTTGACAGCTTCATTGAAAACTATGGGACCCATGTCATCACTTCTGTAACTATTGGCGGCAAGGATGTAATATATGTTAAACAACATCACTCATCTGCATTGTCAATGATGGACATTAAGAACTATGTGCAGGATATTGGAAAGCAGAGGTTCTCTGATAAAGAAAATCACACAAGTTCAGGTCAAATCAAAATAAAGGATAAGGCCAGTGCAACATTATATCTTTCACATTTGCTCATCTTTTCTTATCTTGCATTCTTGATGTGGTTGACTTATAATGCTTCTATTTCACTTGTGCAGGGTCTTGATCCGGGCATGTTCAATAGTCAAGGAATATATCCTCAACCTACCAGTACACCACCATCTGTTGCTGGTAAAGAGGTAGGTGGACATCTTAATAGTTTTTTCTTGGAAATATTTTTGCATATGGCCTTTTCTCTCTCTCTTCTTTTTTTTTTCTTTTTTGGTGACAACTTCTGGTGTATAGACTGCATACCTCATACCTTTTAGAATATACATGAAGTAACTCTTCCTCTGTTGCTCCAGTCATTTACAACTCACATTTCAATTTGATTAATTAGTTGACATGCAAGTAATTAATTTTTTTTGTCATTTGAAAGTTATCAGGGCACTGTTTCTGAAATTTGTGTTGTTCGTTATTGCTAAGTAATTAAAAACATCTTTGATCACGACTAAACATGTAGGAGGGGGCTAGTTTGTTTGGTTGATCACATTTTTGTCAGAGATAGAAATTCATTTTGGATTGCTTTTGGACCTGATGTGTGGTGCTTGTTCCTTTTATTATCGTTGGGAAGCATGTCGTAGTTCTCTTTTGATGACTGGAATGTGATATTTGCATCACATAAATGGCAGAGCAAAATTCTTGCTATCTGACATGAACAATTTATGTCTTGTTTTAATTTTAGTACTTATTTACTCAATTACTCTTGTCAATTGGTATCCCGATGTTGACTTGCTAGGTCTTTGTTCATTTAATCACCATGAAGCCTTAACTTGGAACTTTCTGGATGTCCCATTGATGCAGGATGTTACAGTCATTTTCAGGAGGAGAGGAGGAGATGATCTGGAACAAAATCACACCCGTTGGGCAAAAACTGTCCGGTCCTCTCCAGATGTCATTGAGATGACTTTCTGCCCTATTACTACTCTTCTTGATGGTGTGACTGGAAAGGAGCATTTGGCTCGTGCTATTGCTTTATATCTTGAATGTAAGATGGTTATTTCTTTGCTCATCCTTCTGATTGAAGCATATTATTGTTCCTAACTTCAAAATTTTGTGTTTTATTTTTTGCAGATAAGCCTCAGATCGAAGAACTGAGATTTTTTTTTGAGTTTCAGATTCCTAGGATATGGGCTCCTCTGCAGGACGAGATTCCTGGTCCCCAAAGGAAGGAACCCGTTTGCCCATCTCTGCAATTCAGCATTATGGGGCAGAAACTTTATGTCAGTCAGGAGCAGGTATAAGTTTATGCAACATAATTTATCATCTCTAAGGTCCATATTCTCCCAAATGTTGGTCATTCTTCTGCATATGGATGATGAAGAGTGATTTTCAGGATAAAAACCTCATTTGTTGTATGCAATTCTACATATGGTTGGGGTTTGCTGATGGTCATTTGCAATCCCTGGATGCTACCAAACTGGCCTGAATTATTTTCAAGGAAGTGAGGTGCTTCTTGGGAGAGTGTGGCAACATAGGAATAAGCTTTTCCATTTTCTTTAGTAAGTGGGAATAAGGTGTGAATAGTTATCACCTCCACTAGGTTTTAGTTTATTTTTGGGTTTTGGCCATACTCCCTAGGTTTTCATTATTCCCACTATTCTTTTTTTTTTTTTTTTGAAGAAAATGGGTGCAAGGTTAGATAGCCATTCAAAATTTGCCATATTCTTCTTGGTGCGACCTTATTTTCATACAAAATCCATGGAAATGGTCATCCCATTAAACCAAACATGACCTTAAGCTTTGTACAGTTAGAAATTAGCATGCTCATAGGATCAGTTGAGATGAAATATTGAAGATGGATGTGCAGTCATACAAGAAAGATATGATAATAAATAGAATTATTCTATGTGAAAGGTAACAGTAGCACCAATAGTGGAAAAATGAAGAGAATACAATGTGGATTGTTGTTTATTCATGTGTAACACAAACCAAGGGATTCTGCAGCAGTATGGGAATGACTTATTTGGGTGAAAGAACCAAAGAGGTTAGAGGTAGGCCAAAAATCACATAAGTTGAAGTATGAAATTTACTTAATTTTGTTAGACCTTCATGGGATGGTACTTGATAATGGAGGAAAATGAGTCTTTCTATTACTAATTAGCTTGGGATAGAGACTTTGTTGGGTTGAACATTTCAAGAAATTCTACCTGCTTCAGTAGCCTTTTTCTTGCCTCCTTGGTTTAGAGTATGAGAAAAGTCTACAATAAACCTTTAATTTAATGTTTGAGATCTTGGTTTTTAATCTCGATTCTTTGCATATACAGCATCTGTTATATAAATCACCCAATGGGAAGATATTTGGAGACAGTGAGTGACATGAACTGTTTTTGCCATAGTTTTGCTTCTAATCTTGATTCTATACCAAATGCAGATTTCAGTTGGACGTAAGCCTGTAACAGGCTTGCGGTTATGTCTGGAGGGAAGCAAGCAGAACCGTTTAATTATTCATGTTCAACAGTTGGCTTCCCTTCCAAAGATCCTACTTCCATATTGGGACATGCATGTGGCAATTGGTGCTCCCAAGTGGCAGGGACCTGAAGAGCAAGACAGCAGATGGTTTGAGCCAGTGAAGTGGAAAAATTTTTCTCACGTGAGCACTGCACCAATTGAGAACCGTGAAATATTTATAGGCGATGACTCTGGTGTCTACATAGTCACTGGAGCTCAGCTTGGAGTCTGGGATTTTGGATCAAGAAATGTCTTATACATGAAGCTCTTATATTCTAGGCTACCAGGCTGCACCATACGAAGATCCTTGTGGGACCATTTGCCAAATGACAAGTCAAAGATAAATGTTCCTACCACTGCCATTACAAACTCTGGCAACTCAAGTTCTAGTCTTCAAGAAATCGGCAATAAGTTGGCAAAATTTGTTGACATGTCCGAGATGACCAAAGGACCGCAAGACCCTCCTGGTCATTGGTTGGTCACCGGTGGAAAGCTTGGTGTTGAGAAAGGAAAAATCATTTTGAGAGTGAAATACTCATTGCTGAATTATTAAAGTCTCTTGTGGTGTAATTTTGCGCCATCTGCTGTCTAGTTGTCGGGTATTATGTTTTTCTGTAATCCAAGTTCGTGTCTAGTCATCCTTGTAAAAAACCTTGAGTTCGATGAACTGGGTTTTGAGTGGATAAAGATATGTATAAGTAGGTGGGTTATTGGAGTTGGGGATTCTTCTAGTTTTCTTTGGGAAGGCTGTGAATTTTGTAGATGTCTTTTTGTGGGAATCTCAGTTTCTGATCTATGAGAAAGGACACACACAATCTGGTATTCGTCTGAAGCTTCTACTTTCAAAATAAGCATCTCATTCAGGGAAAAATTTGAAGGGTAATAAACATGTCACGCATTGCAAGTTTCAAACTCTTAAACATAATGTCATAAAACTTTACAGTAAGTAAGATATGAAAGAAAGTTGATGGGTATTAATTCAGCTAAAGTGTTACTGTAATGGTAATTATGTTAATTCTTACAACCAGAAGTAAAAATTAACTGTTGTCTCAGGTGGATACACGCATTTTCCAGTACATTTAGAGCTACTAACTGATTAATTATTTGGCATCCAGACTATCCGTGCAGTAGATGATGGGGCTGTTGGGGCTGTTGTAGGGAATTAATGGTTGATATATATATATAACAGGTGTGGAATTTCTAGGACGTGAGTTTAATTGCATCGGCTGCCTGTGACACCACTTCTCTCCCATTCTATCTTGAAGTTGTGTTTTTCATTTTAGTTTGGACGGTTTAAAAATGCCAATTTAGATGAATCCTTGAATGTGGCTCCACATGCATTCATGTTATGGACATGATTGTAATTGTTTGAATTTGACATTTTTTACCTTGAAATTGAAAAGAAAAACCCCTTTTTATGTTTATAATAAATCACGAAATTTCTTTTAATAAAGAAAGAAGATTACAATGCTTAGCAAATAAGTGGTCTCATTTTTTAAGACAACTCAAAAATTATTTAGTTTGATTTGTATTTTAGTTATTTATAATTTTTTATTTTAAATAGTTAATTATAATATCTAAAAATTTAAATTTATAAACTAATTTTAATTTATTAAATTATAAATATTAATTATTTTATCAATTATAAATTATTTTTAATAATTTAATTTAATTTAATAATTTTAAAAAAAAATAACAACAATCACAACCACACTTGAACAAATCCTTTTTAAAAAGAGTTTGACTCATAACTTCAGCAAATAAGCAAATTCATACTCATGACTTATATCATAATGTAGAAATAATAAACTTCCATTAATTTCCTACTATCCTCTCATTCTCATTTTAGTTGTGTTACACTTTTTCCATAACACTTATTAAAAAACTTACTAAATTTTAGATGATCACAATTATTATAAGTTAAATTTCATATTTATTTTTAATGGGACTCAATTAATTAATAAGAGACTGAGAAGTTTTTCTAAAAGAGTCATTATGAAATCTTTAATCTTTTGATCTCTAAAAATAATTTAAAATTTTAAAAATTAATAACACTTAAATCCTTAAAAATACTCAATGGCAACATGCTGAACTCCCTATTAAAATGCACCATTTACCATCACCTTTTTTAATCTCACTCAACCTTTCTTTACGAAAGAGCCATAAAGTTCTCCCTTTTTACAAAACTGCCTATCCCACTTCCATTTAGTTTTTGTGCAGGGCGCGGCTAGACTTGGCAATTTTCCGCCCTACCGCTAACTCGCCTATTACTTGTCCGTTAAAATGGGTTAGGATTAGATATTCATAAGCAGTGACCTATCACCTGTCACCCATTAAGAGAACATAATGAATCATAGATAAATAATGGGTTGACTCAAAAAGTCAATGAATTTGACCTGTTTAC